TCCCTCCCTCATGTGGGTCGTCTGCCCAGGTCACCAGCAAAGCCACCGCGAGGGCTAGGCAAGCACTAGGTGATGATCCGGCTTGGGGGTGACCAGAGCTGGCCTCTAGGCCATTCACAGACTGTCCCCACCGCCCAGGAGCCTGAACTCCAGGCACCTCAAGCTCTCACCAGCCCTGTGACCCCTCAGAGACTTCTGGGTGTTGAGGCTGTGGGTAGGGGGGAACCTGGGCTGTCCTCCAGGCCTGGGAAGGGGCTTCCGGGGTGGGTCTGCATCCTCTGAGCAGGGAAGCCCTACAAGCCCGTTTCCCAGCTCAAGCCTCAGTTTCCCTGACCGGCCCCACTGGGCTTTGAAGGATGAGGGGCCCACCCTTCCTGGAGCACCGTGGCGGCCGGCGGGCCCTGCTGCCCTTTGTTCATCCAGGAAGCACTGCTGTGACCTTTAGTCCCCATTGTGTGCCCTGGGGGCTGGGGAGCCACGTGGGGAAGCCGGGAGGGCCAGACCCGGGGCAGGCTTGTCCATTCCTCATGCAAGGCCCGCTCCCTCCGACCACAGGCAGAGCCACGTCCAGGAGAAGTGACCCCCGCCCACCCACGGCCAGGCAGGCCCCAGGAGCAAGCCGCTCAGCTCCTGGGACAGCCCTTCACCCCATCCGCTTCTGGGACACACAGCTGCCCCTCTGGAACCCCGTTCTTGGTTGGGGAAACAGCCCCAGAGGAGGGTTACAAGAGCCTCAGGACACGGGCTCGCCTGTGATAGCTGCCAGGAGGTCCAACAGCTGGCTTTACCTGCTGCCTGTTCCTGGCATGTGGGGGCCGCTGGACCCCTCCCCTGTGGCCATTCCTTCATAGGGCCACATCCCCCTCCCACTAGGGAGGACCTGGCGTCCTGGGACAGGCTGGGCTACACCCGACACCCCATGTGGAAAGCCCTGCTCCCCCAGGGCGTGGCTGCCAGGGTGCCCTCTCCCCCCACGTAGGGGCACTCTGCGGCCCAGTCAAGTCCTGGCCCGTCAGGGACAAGACCCGGCCGGCCCAGAGCTCCTCGCAGCCTGTGGAGACCTGCAAAGTCTGTCCTTGTTCCCTGAGGGGACATCCTTCGGCAGCCCAGCGGACCATGTGCTCACAAAGGCAGACCACAGCATCCCAGGGCTGCAGCTGCAGGCCGCGTGGAGGGCGTGCGCTCGCAGGACTCCACCTCCCCGTACACCGCAGGAACCTGTTTGCTGGCTTCCACCACCAAAGCCACCCGCCCAGAGAGGGCCAAAGGACGGGCAGAGAGCAGAGCCCTGCCACCAGCCACTGCCCACCATTGTCCCAGCACTTGGGCTACCGTGTGTGTGCGTGCGTGCGTGTGTGTGTGTGTGTGTGTGTCTCCGCCCACCTCCCCAGCACCTGGGGCTGCCCTGGGTGTCCCCTCAGGCTGTGACAAGGTCCACTGCACAGGCTGTGTGGGTCCCCCGGGGCCCTGCTCACACAGGGGCAGCAATGTGTAGACACCCTGGGGGACACAGCCTGGGGCCTCTAAGGGCCGCCAGAACTTGTGTTTGGTTGCCATGTTGCTGCCTTCAGACAGAGGCCAGGCTGGGCTTGCAGGCAGGGTGCCAGGGCCGGGGGCCCTCCCAGAGGCCCCTCGTGGTGACCCCTCAAGCTACTGGCTCCTGGTGGTGGCATTTATCTCAAACAGGCCTGTCTGTGCCCCTGGGCCCCGCTCCCCGTTCCCTGCAAGGCCCAAGCTGCAGGCAGGGGCATCCCCCTTCCTGCGACTGGCTCCTTGGCCCCCCAGCCAGAAGTGACAGTGGCAGGCCCCACAGTGACTCACTGGATGACTCTAGCCCTGGGCAGCTGCAGGGGCTCGTGAGCACTCAGGACACAGAGCAGGCGGCTCGGCCAGAGCTGTCTCCACAGGCAAACCCGGTATTGGACGGGGCCTGCAGTCAGGGACAGCTTTCAGGAGGTGATGGGCCCCCGACCCACAAGCACACTGAGGACACCTGGCCCTCACACAGCAGGGGTGGGGGCCTCAGCCTGACACATGCACACAGTGAGGCCACCCAGCACCCACAGTCGCACCACAAGGTGAAGTGGGGACCTCTGGATGGGCTAATTACTGATGTTTTTTCCTTCTGTCTATAATATATGGGGGCTCTGGTGGTGTAGTGCCTAAGGCTGGCGGTTCAAACCCACCAGCCACTCCTCGGAAGGAAGGTTGGGCAATCTACTTCTGTAGAGATACCGCCTCGGAAACCCAAGGAGGAGTCACTATGAGCCGGATCCGGCTTGACCGCATTGAGTCTGGTTTTGGACCGCATTGAGTCTGGTTTTGGTTTGTTCTCTATGTATTCTGAAAAATGTTCCTAAGATTTACCTGTGAGAAGTCAAAAAGACCTAAGCACTCCCATCCGCCCCCCCAGCCTGTTTCTGAGTCAAGACTGGGGTGATGCCTGGGCTCCCATTCTGGGGTCTCTGTGCCGGTCAGTCTTGGGGCTCGCTGGTCACCCCACATCACAGCTGGGGCCCTGAGGCAAGGATTCTTGTCCGAGGTGACACGGCAGGCAGAGGGCACTGAAGGCCCTCGGTGTCCCCTCCACACTCAGTGCCCACGATGCCAGGGTCCTGGTCCCGTCACGCTGTCCCAGGGCTCAGGGGAAGCCAGTGAGCCTGAGGCTGCTGCATTCTGACTGTTTAATGCACTCAAAGATAATAAACAGGGAATACAAAAGCCGGCCCGCCAGCACAGCCCGGGCTTTGGGCTGCACCTGCTGGGCTCTGTGGGGCTTTGTCCTCGACGGGCAGAGGGGGCTGATGTCCTGGGTGCTGGCACCTCACGTTAGTGTACACGGCCAGCCACTATTGTTGCAGGAAGCCACCGGTGTTAGATGCCTACTGGAAAAGGCAAAAGGTACTGGTTCTGTTAAGTGAAACCAGGGGTGCACTGGGCTCCTCTCCTGCCACCGCCGGGTCCCCCCGCGATACCCCCAATCCCACTGGCTGACCCAAGCCGCAAGTGCTGTCCACGTGGGCACAGCGTGAGCGGGGACCACCTTCCGGGAAAGACCCTGGTCCCCGTCCTCCTGACAGCAGTGTGCCACTGGGGTGGGGCTGCGGGGCCAGGGAAGTCTTCTCACTCGCTAGACAAAGCTGTTCCCCTAAATTCACAGGATAAACAAGAGCGGGACCGCGGGGCAGACAGGCGGCCTGCATGGGGCACATGAGGGCGACGGCAGCAACTCAGACTCTGCGTAGACACCTAACACCACGACCCTCCCAGGATGGCCATTCGAGTCAGCAGACGGAACTGAGCTCCGCAGCGGGAGTGGGGGTGCCACTGGGAGGCTCCACCTGGGAGTCAGGGTGGGTGAGAATCAAGTCACTCCCTGTGGGAATCAGGACCTGTGGGGGTCGGGGCCTGTGGGGGCCGGCGTCTCTGGGAGTCAGGGCCTATGGAAGTCAGGGTCTTTGGGAATTGGGGCCTGTGGGAGTCGACATCAATGGGGCCAGGTGTCTATGGGAGTCCGGGTCTGTGGGGGCCGGCGTCTGTGAGTCAGGGCCTGTGGGAGTCAGGGTCTATGGGGGCTGGTGTCTGTGGGGGCCTTTGTGGGAGTCGGGGCCTGTGGGAGTCAGGGTCTGTGGGGGTGGGGTCACTAGGATAGTCTAGGGCTTCATTGCTCAGCTAGTCCTTTTTCCTATAGCTGAATGTGGACCAATGGGCACCGTGGCCACCTGGTGGCTATGGGTCCCCAGGTCTCAAACACGTGTGGTCACTCATCATCCCACACTCCTGGCTGGGCGTGTGGAAATATGGTCTGGAACCCCATGCTTGGATGGAGACCTCCTGGTCCTGTCGGTGGCCACACCTCCCCAAGGTGTCCACGGGTGCAGTACAGCCATTGCTGGAAGGAATGGGTCCTGGCTTTGTGCTGAGGCCAGCACGTGTGGGCATGGGCTTGCAGGTCCCCAGGACACTGCTGGGTCCTAGCCTCGGGGTGTCCTCAACAGGACATCAGCAATAAGGCTTTGGTTCTAACAGTGCCGCCATGCTCTGGGGTGGCAGGGCAGGCATGGTGGGGGTGCACCATCCACACCGGGGTGCCATGAGGCCCAGACGACATCCACCATCCGTCACAGCCCGGCTGCTGAGGGTGGGGGTGGCACCTGCTGTCCCTGCCAGGAGAGTTAAGGCACTTGTCAAATTCTTGCCAATTCTTGCCGCTCGGAGCAACTCTGAGTCACAGTGCCCTCACGTGCACGCCCTGGTGTTCACGTCTTTCCTCCTGCTACTTCCAGCTTTGCTCCCGGCTTCACCACGTGAGGGGTGTCTGGAGTCCGAGATCCCACTCTACGCTTTATTTGAACAGTCTAGCCTTGGTACTAACAAAGCAGGAACAACTTTCCCCAGTACTGTGCATAGCAAAACATTTTAACTAGAACTGTCACGGGCTGACACTTTTGCCAGGCAACTGAGCCAGTGCAAGGAGCTCCAACCACTCGAGGCTGGAGGACGGGGCGGCCCAGGGCGTGGGGCCCTTCACAGGGACCCCGAGAGCCGGGACGGTATGGCATGTGCCATGCATCCCCGTCCCATCGGCTCAGGCCGGCAAATCACCGAGTCGTGCTGGCGAGGTGGTCCTGTCACGTGGGTGTGGTGATGTGGCACCAGAGCCAGCTCCCGCCAGAGCCGCCCTGCCCTGTGCCACGAAGCAGACTGTGCTAGGCGTCTGTCCCCACCAGGTCACTGGTGCCGAGCCCGGGAAACCGGGGGCCCTGGAGGGCGTGAGTCCCCGTCCTCCGCTGTGCTGGGGGGGCCCGTCTTCACCCCGCAGCACCCAGTCCCGGGCTCACTCAGAAGGGACCTCCTGCAGCAGGTTGGCGTGGACGGCACGTCGGGAGCGTGTGCAGGCCCGAGTCCTCAGTGAGCCGTTGGAGGCTCTGTGGCTGGCGCGTGCCCACGCGGGTGACGGTGCGGACTGCGGGACCGCTGCCGGGCGCCCCCGCGGTGGCTCACGTCTCGAAATACTTGTAGATGGCCGTCACGTACAGCATCACGTCCTGCCAGTCCGGCCGCTCCGTCCGTACCATCTCGTTAATGTCCTGAAGGAAGGAGGCAGCGCGGGTCACCTGCTGGCTGGGGCTCCCGGGCCAGGCCCAAGACCACCTCTGCAAGGCACATCCTCTGTATGGGACCCCGAGACCCTCCCCACCAGGCCTGCTCCTGCCTGCCCAGCACAGCCTTCCCGGGGGTGGGAGGGGTTCACCTTCTCTGGGGGCTTTCTCTACCAGCCCCCAGGATGCTCTGAGTGCCTGTCCCAGGCACTGTGCTGGGAACCCCTCTGGACCAGGGCTCTGACCTACGCACTAGAGTGACCCCCACGCGCCCCAGGCTAACCGGGGCTGAACAGCCTGGGGGGTGAGGGCATTGTCCCACACAAGGTCGGGGCTCACCCTGGGGGAAGGGGGTGCGTTGGGGGGGGTCCCGCACAAGGTTGGGGCTCACCCAGGGTGAGTCGGGCATCAGGGCGTCCCGCATGAGACCTGGGCTCACCCAGGGGGAGGTGTGTTTGAGGGATCCCACAAAAGGTCAGGGTTCACCCAGGGGGAGGTAAAGTCAGGGGGTCCTGCACAAGGTCTGCACAGTGTCTGGTCAGGAGCTGCCCCCTAGCTCTGTGCTTCTCAGGGAAGGTGGTGGGGGGGAACCCCGCGTGTGAAACACACTTGGCGCCACCTGTCCTCGGGGCTCTCTGAGTGGGTGTGTTGCCCCATGTCCCCCTTTGCCACCCGGGAGCCGCACCACCGCCAGGCCGTCCGTCACCCTGTGACCACGGTTTGAGCTCGACAGGCCCATGTTCTTGCTAACATGGCATGCCCTGGGGGGTTGGTGGGGGAGGAGGACTCACCAGTGTGGATTTGATGCCAACACTTTCTGCCGCCTGGAAGGCCAGCGTGAAGTTCCGTCTCTGGAAAAGAAATGGTGTCCGTTCAATGAGGACAGCAGGGGACAGGCCACGGACCTGCTCGTGTGGCTCTGCAGAGCACCAAGGCACGGGGTGCCAAACAGTGTCCCCGGGAGCCCCCAAGTCCAGCCTTGTAGCAGGGATGCTCCAGCCCTCCTCCTGAGCCGCCCCTGCCCCAGTGCGACGGGACAGGGCAGTGGCTTCGCGGCCTCACCTTGTCCTGGCCGCTAAGCTCCTGGTAGGGGATGTGGGCAGGCAGGTACGTGTGCAGGAGCGCGCAGAAAGCCAGCCCGTCGTTCCAACTGCTGCTGAAGTTCGTGATGTCGATATTCTAAAAGAGAAGGGGGTCGCGTGAGTCACACACGTGGTCATGTCCTGAGGACACCATGGGGGATGGAGTACCCGAGGGCACACCAAGCCTGGCGGGCAGCCAGCGTGGTCTTGGGAGCGGGGTCTCACCCCAGTCCCCCTGCCAACCCCAAAAGCAGACATGGTAAAAGCAACCATGGTGCCCACACCCTCCCGTGGGGCTGATGGCCACACACCAGCCTGGCCTGGGCCCCTGTGACGTGTTCCCACCAGGATGGCGACTGTACGCAGAGTGTTCCAGGCACTGCGAGGCTCCCAGGCCCCTCCGTGACGCTGCTGGAGTGACGGCTCTAACAGAGTTCGGGTGACACTGAAGCCACGCTGGAAGCACGATGCATGGTCCCTAGGTCAGCACGGTCCTCAGTGTGCCTCCTGCCCGTTTCACCACACCGCTGCGGCGTGACGGCAAGGCAGCCGGGAACCTGAGGGCATGGCGTGCGGGGGCCGCTGCAGGCCGGCTGCTCCCATCTGTGCCCACTGTCCCTCAGCACAATCACCCAGACTCGCCTTGGCTTGGCAGAGCCCTCAAAAATAAACCAAATGAACCACAAAGCACAAAAGTAAGGAAGTAACGATAATAATAAAGAACCCGGTGACTGGTGACACAGAGGAAAACAGCCAGCACCATCTGGAGCCAAGGGGAAGGTCCGGCCTCCACGCGGAAACCCGAGCTCTGAACACATGTACCTGCCACTGAGCCCACAAGCACCCAATGAGGAGACATCTCTGACAAGACTGCCGGGGAGATGGGCTGATGAGATTTCTACGTCACAGACAACAGGCCCCCCTGACTGGGAACCAGTGCCTTCCAATGCCCAGTGTGTGGCAGTCCAACCAACACCACAGAGATCCACCTGACAGTGGCAGGGCCACTAAAGGACACTGGTGTCGGGCTGGCCGAGGGATCCCGGTGACAGAGGTGACAAGTCACTGCCTCCTCTCGGATGCCATACTGTAGCTCTCAGGGAACCGCTGCTTGTCGATCTGTGGGGCAGTGTCAGACTGTCAGAACAGCCCTGCTTTTCCCGACCACACATCTGCCTGCAGCTGGACTTTCCTGAAAGTGTCACACCAGGACGGGGGCTGGTGCCGCTAAGAGACCCACAGCTCTTCAAATGAAGAGCTGAGGGAAGGGGAACAGGCTGCCTTGCTCAGTTATTTTATTATTTTTTTCAAAGTAGAAAAAAGTTATTTACATAAGAAAGTGTCGCTCATGAGCCCCTCTGACCTGAGGAAGCAGGGCTGGGCCACTCGCGGTGTAGTAAATTACCTGGTATGGCTTTCCTAGCCATATTGTTGTTGTCCGAGGTGGTATCACTACGGAAGTAGATTGCCCAACCTTCCTTCTGAGGAGTGGCTGGTGGGTTTGAACCGCCAGCCTTCTGGTTAGCAGTCAAGTGCTTTGTAAACTCTGCAGTGGAATTTGCCATGAGCAACTGAGTAGCTCTTGATTGTTAAAGTTATCCACCTGGGGTATTTCTGTTGGGAGTAGCACAAAGTAATTTTCTGGGAAGTTCTGTCTCTCTCAGGTGTACAGAATTCTGATGTTGTGATTGGTTACTTTGGCCACCCTGCCAGGCTCAACAGGAGCCCTCCTAGAGGCAGAAGGAGTCTCTCTGACTGCTGGCTGAGAAGGATGGGCTGCTGAGAGAAATGCGTTCCTGAGAGACATGTGCTGCTGAGAAAGAGACACCAAGAGACACACACTGCTGGGAGAGAGACTGTTGGCTGAGAGACAGCGAGACTGAGAGAGACTGAGTGTGTTCCTGAACTTCAATTGTAGTCTGGTGTTTCCCTAACAAACCCCATAACCTGTGAGTTCTGTGTGGACACTGCAGCGAATTATCAAACCCAGCAGAGAGGTGGTGGGTGCTGTGAGAGGAACAGTTGGGGTCAGGGCTGATGAAAGGGCTGCAGGGAGGCAGCATGTCTGGCTGTGCAGGAACAGGCCTTGGACTCTGATGGTGAGTCCGCCTTCCTCTTGTGCGGTCAGAGGAGGTCAGAAGATGCGGCCTCCTTGGCTCTTTGGCACCACCCCCGACCTGGGGAAGCAGGGCCGGGGTGCCCCACCAGAAGGGGCGCAGGGCCTGGCACCCCACTCAAGGCTCCTGCTCTGCCTCCTTGCAGGCCTGAGGCCAGTGGACTGTATGTTGAGGATTGTGGGGCAGCTGGTCACCCAGGGCAGGCCTCTCCGCGGCTCACTGTGTGTCAGCCTTTTGTGTCGTCTGGGACCTGAAGGTGTAAGTGTTTCCCAGGCACTGTGCGCACGGTCACTGCACTGTGGCTGGGGACCACGTCACCCTGCCTTCAAGAGGCGCCTAACTCTAGCTCGAACGAAACGCCATGTGGATGCACTGTTATGTGACAACACGGCGCACCTAGCATACGGCCTTGACCCCCACTTACAAGAATCCCTGTGAAGACCCTCTACACACCCAGGCTGTGCTCATTCACATACCGTGGGTGAAACTGGGACCCAGGGGGCGGAGGGAGCACTTCCCAAGGACTTGTTTTGTGCCTCACTGTCTGTGTCTCACAGCCTCAACTGCCCCCAGAATGAGTTTCCCTGGTGTCTGAGGATGTCCACAGCTTTCTGGTCAAGGCCAGCCACCTATTCCTTGGGACATGAATCATTTCCCCCCGCAATAAGTGACACATAGAATGATTCTCACACCTGAACACAGCCTTGGGTGCAGGTCCTGACTTCCAGGGGGTACACAAAGGCACATATACACACAAACACAGGCACACATTCACATGCACACACACACACAGGGACAGATATACATACACGTGCATATACACACATGCACGCATGCACATGTAAATATACATGCACACAGACACACATGCATACACACACATGCAAGCACATACACGGATATACAATACACATACAGGCACACACAGGCATGTGTACACACACATCCATGCATATGTAAATATACATGCACATACACGGACAGAAATACAAGTATACATATGCAACATACACACAGAGACGTGGGTATATACATATACATGCACACACATGGACAGACATACACAGAGGCATGGAGGTATATACACATGCACATACAGACACAGATTTGTGCGCACACATGCAGACCCACACACGCACACAGACAGACATGCTGACGTCCCCCTTCCAGCTCCTGTGCATCTCAGCAAGCAGCTGGTGGGCGGTCAGCTCCCTTGGGAGGACATCAGGGCCCGGGAAGGGATGGGACCTGTCCAGGGTGCTTTGCCAACAGCTGGCCCAGCAGTCAGCTCCCTCCGGAAGTACACCAGGGCTGGGGAGGGCCGGGACCTGTCTGGTGCTCAGCAGGCAGCTGGACAGGGCAGGACCTCTGCTCCATGCACTCCGTGGCCCGGTTCTCATCCTGGTTCCCATGATCAGCCAGGAACATGTTTGTTTGTTTCCAGATAAGGGCCAAGGCTTAGAGAGGCCGAGGAGGGCCTGAGCCCCACGGTCAGTGTGGGCGACCCAACAGGCCTGCACCCACTGCCCGCCCATACTCCCGGGGTCCTAACACCCTAAGGAGCCAGGTACCGCCACGCAGAGCACAGACGTAGATCTGCTCAGCCACTTCTCCGAGCGCTCACAACTGCACACCCACAGGTCACATCACTTCTGGAGAAAAACAAGTCCCCACTTCCTGTCGTGCTGGCCCCTTCTGTTCCCAGAAACACAGGGTCTCGGCAGGGCCGCGTACGTGCCGTGCCTCACGGCCAGCAGCCCTCACGAGGGGAGATGGCAGTGCCTCAGGTGCCCCAGCTGTGGGAGCCGGCCTCCCTGGCCTCCACTTCCTCACCACCAAGGCCCCAGACACAGGGAGAGTGTCCCCCACCCCTGAAGCTGGCGCCTCAGTGAGAGTCAGCTTCACCCAGGAACCCTGGACCCTGCAGCCCCAGCCAAGGGAGGCGCCTGTGTGAAACCCACAACCAGATTGAGCTAAACAAAGCCTGAGCCCCAAGCCAGGGGCAGGGGGCAAGACGGCAGGGACAGCATTGAAGCCCCAGGGCAGCTGGCGGGGGAAGCACTGAGGCCCCAACAGGGCAGCTGGCAGCTGGCAGATGCCGTCAAGTCAGCTCCGACTCAGAGCAACACCATGCACTGCCTGGCCCTGAGCCAGCCTCATGATCCCTGCTGTGCCTGAGCCCACTGTTGCAGCCACTGTGTTAGTCCGTTTCACTGACCCTCCACTTTACCATAGTATCTGTGATAGTTAAGGCTGTGTGTCAGCTTGGCTGGGCCTGGTTGAGTGGCTGGGCAGCTGGGTAGTTATTCCCCATGATGAGACTGGCAATCAACTCCATGGTGGGATCTACCACAAGCAGCTAAGTAGCTGCTTTAGGAATGTGATCTGCTTCCCATAAATAAGCAGCAGCTTTGGGAACGGTCTCTAACGTATGGCATGCTTGAACCCTGTATGTAGCCAAGTAATTGTTCAGCAGTCTGCCATGATCTGCTGACCCTGGGACCTTCAATGGACTTAAATCAATGGCCTGCCGCGTGGTTTGGTAACACTGGGACTTTGCCTTTTAACTTGTCAACCTTGGGTTTGTCAGCCTCAGCAGCCAGCAGCCACCTGAGTGAAGAAAAGCCTCCAGTTCCAGTGGGCTGGAAGCAGGAGCTGGAGCTAAAATCCAAGGTCAAGGGGCCTTCACCCAGTTCCTAGGGCCTGGCATTTTGAACTCGGACTCAAAGCCTCCAAACTGTAAGAGAAACTCCTGTTTGTTCAAGCCATCCCATCTGTCGTACACTCCTGTCAGAGTAGCACTAGGTAACCACAACACTATCCTTCTCCACAGAATAGTCCCTTCTGACAACACGAAGTCTGGCCATTGTCACTTCCCAAGAGCATTCCAGCTGCACTTCCTCCAGGAAAGACCCTGTGAGTTCTTTTAGAAGTCCATGGTACTTTGAGCATTCTTCACCAACCCATAACTCAAAAGCAT